TATATCAAAGTCAACAGTGTCTGGAACAAACATTCTAGTCCAAGACCTAAATAACGAATCCAAACCCAATCCATCAGGCCATGATCTAATAGATCGATCAACTACCATCTCAAGGAAATACAGCTAACTGCATAACGTTAACCCAGAGTAAAATCTCTCCACCAAGAAACCTTCATCAACAGATTCGATTGTGCCACATAACCACAAAGCTCTCCCAAATCAAATCAAACCAATAACCTCACAACAAAATCCACAACAGCGAGTAGTAATTCTTATGAGTTAAAAAATTTCATTTCAAATCAATCTTTCTAAATATTATTATTGGTGGTTAATAGTTGATTTTAAAATACATTCGAAATTAAAATTTTCAATTTTTTTATATGATAAAAACACTTACAATTGTACCATTGAATGGATCGTAAAATCGCTCAATTAGTTGAATAACGGTTGATTTACCGCATCCACTTGAACCAACCAAAGCTATCGTTTTACCTTTCAATGCTTCCATTGTGAGTCCTTTTAGTACCAAACATTTTCGATTTACCGGATATGCAAATCGTATATCTTTAAGTTTCACATTACCTTGTAGTACCTATGAAAAAACTCGATAAAAATATCGAATGATTTTTAGATTTACTTATCGATAATCAATATTATTTTTTTGGATTGTTTTTTTTGTATGGTTGAAAGAATTGCAGCCATTCAGTATCATAATTTATTTTTTCTGGAATGTACTTTTTTGATTACCTATTTTTCATGGATTTGATAAACATTGGTCATGAAGGAAAGGAAAATATCAAATTTAACTATCTTTCATTAACTGTATCATCACTTGATCAGCGAAGAGAAAATGTTTTAGGTTAAAATGATGAATGAGTAAGTAAAAGTAGCCAGGTATAAAGAAAATAGAGATAAACAGGTAAACAAATATGCAAAATTAATAAAAAAATGTAACTGTCAAAAAATTACAAAACAGGCAATATAACGGTATGATAAAATTAATTAGGCATACTGGACAAAATAGCTCTTACTGAGGAACTGATGCTTAAGCAGTATAGAAAAATCATTAGCTTAAAATGAAAATTTTACAAAAAATGTCAAGTAAAAATTACTTCTTTCTTTCCACCTTCTGATAAACTGCTAATTTTCGGTTTTTCAGCAAGCATTTTAAAGATTAAACTAGCACTCAAACATGCCCGTATATATTCTGGAAAATAAGCTCCGATAGCTGAAACGCTCATTGATGCCACATTCAATGTTTCAATTACCCTGTAAATATTGTTGTTTAGCCTCAAAATCAAATACTTCCTTATTGATCATGAGCATTTAATGAGATTTTTCAGTTGTAATTGCAATTCAAGTAATGATATGTATTCATTTATTGATATTTTATTAAATTTATGTTAATTTCAATCTGTTATTCAGTCTAAAAAGATCATTCATAACAAAAAACAACAGCGATTACAAAATTTAGGATAAATTTTTCATTTGTCTAAGAAAAATAGGTTATTTTGCTTTATATTGAATATGTTAGAATTTTTTTCTTTCAAATGCTAACTCTAAAATAAATTTATGCTCTCTTGTCAAAGAATGATGATACTTTTCCAGCAGATTTCTAAGAGATTATGTGTTTCACGTATTGAAAAACACCGCTTCACATATTGCAGTACCTCATGTATATCATGCATATTAAAGAAAAAATAGATTGTAAACATACTGAAATACTTGAAATGGATTAGCATTTCCAATCTCTATAAGCCATAAACCGTAACGGTATGCTGCAGCAAAATTAAAAAAATTAAAGCATGAATGAAGTGCAAAAGCGAAAGCTTGAATAATGCCACGATACAATTTTGTGCTATGTAATTTTCGCATTTGTTGATTAAACTCATCACAGAAATACCTTTCACATGTTAAATATTGGACCGTTTTATGATACTTCAATGCTTCTGTGGCGAGCTGTAAAAAGTTTGTTGATTGTTAGCATCTTGGAAAAATAGTCGCAAACATTTTGTCAATTATATTAAATATTAAATATGAAATAGGTAAATAATTAAATATTAAACAAATCTAGCAGTAGAGATTACTTGAAATGATCCATAAGTTAGCATTTCATCCATTTCTGATCGTTTCTTCAGATACTGTGTAATGATTATTTGAAAAAGCACCAGTGTTGTGGTTGTTAAAATACCTATTGGTGCTATTTTAGGACCATAATAGAATGCAACACCAATACTAACTATTATGGAAATTATCGTTTGAAATACATCTGCAAGTCTGAAATACAATTCTTTTCATACTTTCCACAGCTTTCCTTGATTGCTTACAAAATGTTAGTATTGTTATAAATGCAGCTGCTATTTTACCTGTGATCAATTGCAGCACGAATATTTGATATATCGGTAGCTAATCTTGTAATTAAATTACCCGATACATGTTCCAATAAATCAAAGTATTCGCCATCCTAAAAAGTAAGCAAATTTGAAAGAATAGTAGGATCAGTATCCAACAATATTAGCAATAAAAATATTTTTTCATATTTTTTTCTATATGATTGAAAATTGTTGGCTTATTGAATCTTTCATTTCTACATAATTTATTTAAACCAAATTTGGTTTATAAATTTTCCTAGGCCAATTATTAGTCTTGTCAACTTGGCTCCTTCTGCTTTCTAGTATTGCGTCAATTTTTTCCCACAGCAAATGTAACAAAACCATTGCTATTACCTGACTGATAATATTAGTGAATAGCGTAATGCGTAATCGTTTGGTAAGCAATTCGCCGGGAAGAGCAAACAGATAGCTTGCTAAAAATGTCACAAATCCGCAACTGATGCCAAGTATTATGAAATTTATGGCATTCGTTAAAGCTTCGTGCAACCGTTGCTCAGCAGTTGCTTTCGTTAACGCCTGTAATATATTTTACGAAGAATAAATGTTGGAGTGCAAAAACTTATTATCTTCAAATTATTATCAAATTATTAATCAGACAGACATTATATTTGTCGTTGATTACTTACCTGAAGTTTTTGCACTCGAAGATTTACCTGAAACATAGCTCCATAGATAATCGAAAAAATAGGAAATATAAATCCTTTTAGAATCGCAAAAAGTAATCCAAAAAATAACAAAAGCCATTCATCACGTGCGAACCGTAAAATATTCAACAAATTGGATTCCTTCTTCGCTTTCACTTCATTTACTTCTTGCTGTAAAATATAAAAAGAATAGATCTGAAAATTAGAAGATGAAGTTTGCAAATCTGCTAATGTTATTGAATTTTTTGAATGCATATTGTATGCATACTGTATGTATGCAATTGTCTAGCAGGAAGATAATAAAATCTTAATTATTTCATATCACGACATATTGTTTATCCTTTTTTTGTTGATGTTATTATTTGATAAAAAGAAAGAGGAGAAGTCATACTCTCGAATTCTCGATACATTGATCAATGGACGAAATGGTAGATATTGATCGGGATAATCGATCTGGCGATTTACTTCGTATCAAATTTATCATTTCTTTTCGCTCATCTTCCAATATTCCTGAAGAAAAATTTGCGATCACTAAAGGAAGAATGCATTATATGGAAATCGGAATTCGGTTTGTTGGCAATTATCTTGTTTTTTTTTTTTTTTGCATGCTGGAATATATTTTGCTAGATGGTTGGGAGTAATACCAAGCCTGAAATATGAAACTGTTGCAGTAAAGATGTGATATTCCATAGTGCTATCATCACGAATGCTAGATAGTATATGAAACACCTGAAAAGATAATTAGATCAAGCTAGAAAAAGATGAGAAAACTTATTGTTGCATTTTCTTTAAAAGTTTGAAAGGAAGAATATCGGATAAATTTGTTGTTGAAATATCAAATGCAATATTATCTAATAACTTTGAGGTGGAATTATCGATTACTATATCTTAAGCGAAATAAATTATGCACAAAAATAGAATTTGCAATTATTATTAAATGCAAAATTAGGAAGAGTTATGCTGTCACGAAAGTCGCGAAATTTCAAGAATATTATAAATGGTCAAGTGTTTCGATATACTTATATATACACATATATTCGTAGATGTAATATTACTGTCTTAATACATGTTCATAGCGTCAATTACAATGTTCCTTTTAAACCAACAGCACAGTCAAATGATTCATTTTGTACTTGCATATGCGTTCTCATCCTTGCCTCCAATTATTCTCCCTTGCTCGTATGTCCTCCAATATCTCTCCTTATTTTCCCACATTATGATATGCACGTATACTTTGCCTATATAAGACATC